GGCCCCCCCCCCCCCCCGGCTTGTTTGGTTCGTGCAAGTTGAGGCCTACTTGGTTTCAAGTCACTTGAAAACAACAGCAAGAACAGGACCCAAATCTCTCGATTTTCAACAGAGCTACTGGAAAGGCATAGCTGAGAATTTTTCCCGTCACGAACTATTAAATAAATATATAATTTTTTTAAAAAAATTAATTATTAATTTATATATATAAATTTTTAAAGTTAACAATAAAATTTTAATTTAAACACATTACCTAAAATATTAAAAATTAAATTTAAAAGTACATCAAATTAAAATAAAAAGTAAAAATAAGCTCATTATTAAAGTTACATCATTCGATATTTTATGAAATATAATTTATTTATAATCAAATCTGAATTGATATCATAACAACCCCTCAACCGGGATAAAATAACAATTAACAAAGTAATTAAATTTTTTTTTCTCTCAATTCTTACTTCCCTCATTATTTCTTATATTAGTGTTTTATAAGTTAGACTTTGTAGGTTTCTAAGGTTATTCTTTTACTTTTTTTTTCTTGAATTTTTTTATATTTTCCCTTACTTTTCTCTCTTTCTCTTTTATCTTTTCTTTTTCTATTCTGCTTATGCCCAATCAGCAACATATAAAGGGAAGGAAAATGTGACTTGTTTCATTTTTTAATGGTAAATAATCATTTTATCTTTAATGAGTTGTTTTACTTTTATTTGACAGTTTTTTTTATTAGCATTACCAAGCTCCGTTTATCTTAAAATTTTAACAAGATTTTATTCAATATATTTTAAGATCCCCTATAAAATTTCAGCTTAATCTGATAGTCGGATTGAAAATTATATACAATAATGTAAAACTAGTTAAATTATGATTTTTCATTAAATTTCTGAATTTTCTCAACAATTTTGAAATTTTAACCAAGTTCAAGTATTATACTACAAGGCTTCATGTAAATTTTCAGAAGTTTTTTAATAACTTAATTAAAAATTATAATTTTTTTATATAAAACTAATTAAAAAATATTGATAAAATCTTAATTTGAAGAAGAGCCCACCCTAGCCCTTGGCATTCCTCCGCCCATGGCTACTGGTTAATCAATAACTGCACCCTCCCTGGTAAGGTATGGTGTTCTTCTAATTACTTCAACTGGCGCCTAGGTCTTATTAGGATATGGTGCATGGAATAATTTGCAAGTATCCAAGGGTTTATTTCTCTCCAATGGCTGAATAAAGACTTCCACTTCATGAAGGGTGGTAGACAAGACAAGAGTGGTTGAATTTTCCTTTTCCAAGGTAGAGATGGTTGGTACATGTTAATCACGTTGTTAATTACTAAAAAGAAAAAATTAATCAGTGTGGTTGGCATAAGGTTCAGTTCAAACACAAAAATGATTTCCAAGCTTGAAAATACACCACTAATTAATATATATATATGTATAAAATCATTCTTTCTGGCGGGTCTTGCGTTATTTTCGTGGTAATCGATGGGCCAGAAAGAGATGACCGACAAGATACATGGAATACAAAATACAAAATCCATTCCCGTGAAAACTTTGTGGCATTCCATCATTCATCTTCAACCAAAGTACTCGAGGTTTTTAGCTAGTCGGAAGACTTTGAACTACTGTTGACAAGTCAAAATAAACGAGACACTTCTTTCAAAAGACCGAACCTGTAATCATAGATTGTCAATAATTGGAAGTTAAAAATGGAAAAGATGGCCGATTCTTGAGACATTCCCCTCCAGCTACAATACAAATTCTTCCCCACCAACCCTTTCCCCCTAAGCAATAGCCATAAACCACTTCTCCTATACCTCTCATACCTGTTGTGTGTTTTCCCAACAATACCATCTCTTATCTTTTCAATCTCTTTCCTTTCCTTTTCTTCCTTGCAGATCAAGAATAGCAGAGCTGGAAAGAGAAAATGTTGGGCAAAAAGATCGTTTCTTTCAAGAAACTTGCCAGGAAGGTGAAGGATATCAGTAGAAATGAGTGCAAGCAATCACAGCATGAATGCTTGCTAAGGGATCATAGTTTTGATGATGTGGTCACAACCCCAACAGGGTTTTTTGCTATATATGTAGGGGAAGACAGGGAAAGGTTTGTGGTGCCAACAAGCTGTCTCTCCCATCCACTCTTCAAAATGTTGTTGGAGAAGTCATATAACGAGTTTGGTTTCGAGAAAAGGAATAGGCTTGTGGTTCCATGCAACGTCTCCACATTTCAAGAGGTTCTCAATGCTGCTGAATGTTGTAACGGAAGGTTTGACTTTGGAAATTTGGTTGAGGAGTTTCTATAGATGAGAAGATAAAAAGAGAGCAGAAATTAAGTGCTTGTTGACTATATATCAGGTAACTATAAGCTCTGGGTTTGAGCTTGTACGTAATTCCTTGATGTAATAGAATTGAAAGTTACATGTCGTGGATACTACACAGCTCTACCAACATGGCTGGGCTAATTGTGATCGTGACAAATGAATCACAAAATATTCTGAGTTTCTAGCGTGGTAATGAAGTAACAGCTGTAAGATTTATGGATGAAAAAAATCTAAAATCTTGTGCTTGAGTTTCTGGATGTTGACTCAATGTAGCAGCTAGCCAGTTGCACAAAGATATTGCTTCCGTTGCCAAAGTTGCATCTACAGCTGAACACTTAAAACAGGATAGGAAGAAGAGCCAGGTGATGTGATCTTTGCTGCCTGTTAATCTCTATAAATGAACCCCCTCAATGCCTGTCTATTCTCCACTTTGATTTCTGGTTTTTCCATCTCTTCTTCTAAGCCAATAATGGCTGATCTGCATTGTACATAACGACTACTGATGCTTTTTAGGCTATCTCAATTGATCTCATAAAAACTACTGCTATCCGCTGGCTGTAGAGCAGCTAAAAACATATAGATTTTTGTTCTATCTTAATGATTATGAATGTTTTTGATTAAACGTACCTCTGCAATCACATCTTACATAAATAATCTATATCCGAACTAATATATTCAAGAAAAAAAAAATCTTACAAATACCTCTTTTTAGATACAATCCATAGTGGTAAAGGAGTATATACGCCACTTATCACATAATCCTCAAGCATATAAATATGTAGTTTATTTGATGAAGGAAAGATGAAAGGCAACATGTTCTTCAGTGTAACTTGGTATGTATATTGTAGAAAGGGAGTATTTCTTCTAAAATACGAGTGTTTGGTAAAATATTGAATTTCTTGGTCATGAACAAAATGACAAGGATACCAAGTTTATGCATAAAACAAGTCTCCGAATTAAGTACATTAACTCCACTAAACATCGATTCAAAACTAGGGAACGCATTATTATTTTATGAATTCCAGCAACTAATAATCATTATAAGTTTATAACTGTCGAACAATGGACTGTTTTGTTTATTGTGAATATAGTAGTTAATCGATCTACGACTGGACAAGCAAGACGAAAGCAGTTCAAGCAGATGCTGCACGGTTCTGTGCTGGCTGCTTGATCAAAGGCACGAGGGTTTTAGAATATGCCATCCCCATGTTTCAAAAACGTATGATCGGATTCATGTATGGATTAACCAGTTAATTATGAAATCTAATCATGGTCCAAAATCAATATGTTGATTTATCCAATTGGATTAAAAGAGTGTCTGATATTGTAATAATGGCTGCTTTCAAAAAAAAAAATATTTAAAAATAAACAAAAATAATATTTTTTATTTTTTAAATTATTTTTAATATAATACATCAAAATGATTTAAAAATATAAAAAAATTAATTTTAATTAAAAATAAGAAAATGAATTTAAAATTTTTTAAAAACATTTTTATAACACAAAAATAAACCAGATATAAATAACTTGTAACAAAGGCATGTTTAAGGAAATCTCAGCATCCATTTGGAGTTTCTATGTATTCAAGTCCATGGAAAATCTTGTCTCAAAAACCAGTTCATAACAGTCTAAGAGAATGCCATTTTAACTTTGGGCAGCTAAAGTTGGAGATGGATTGTTTACCTGGTGAGAAATCATTTGCAGTCAGTGAGTTAATGGACAGCTTGAGTCAATTGAGCAAACCCGAGGCCAGCGGCCGTGCGCTTATACTTGGATCATAAGGCCTAAAAACTCAAGTAGTATGTTCAGTTACTTGCCAGACCTGGCCTGTATTAAAGCTATCATAATTTTAGCTGCCAGGTAAATCCATGATTGATGCATCAATAAGCAGTTTCTCATTTCAAACACTTCATTACATGGCTGCTCTGGGCAATGACATGGTCTGCCCCATAGAAAAAATGACGGAACTTGTAAAGTAAACAGTACTAATTCATCTCCAATAAGACTCTGACAGAGAGAAAAACTAGCTCTCACTCTCCACACCGCCACAACCATCAACAAGAATTCTCTTCATATCATCAATCAACTTCTGCATTTGATCCCTTGAATGCAATGGTGATGGATACACACATGCACAATCCAACCGTCCATCTCTTATGGTGTCAAATATGGCCACGGAAGGGCCCACACCATGAACTGAGGAGCACCCCACATAATCCTCGACTCCCACTTTTCCATGCATTTCATTAGTATCATCAATGACAGGGTCCTCAAACACTGAAATGAAGGCAGTCCTCATCGATGATGATGGAGTTAAACCTGGATTTTCGATTGCCTTGCACATGAGGAAGTTCAGGTCACCCATGTCTGTGAAATGCTTGTTATTGTTCTTTGCATTCGTATAGGCCACGTAGCACCTTTTTGCTAGATCCCATAGCATTACACCTCCACTTACGTCATGTGTATTTAAAATGGCAGAGTGATAAAATCCTGAAATAATCAGGTTACTGGCGTCAGGGCAAAAATCTTATACTGTCATCAAAAAATTATTGTCCCTTGCTTGCATATCCAAATTCGCACTACCAATCTCTAGTTAAGGAGAACTTGAATCATACAAAACTAGTTCTAACTTTTTGAACGAGGAAAACATTGCAACAGCCATTAAACACACACAACGAATGGACCCTCTTATTTCCCAGTATATAGAACTGAAAATATGTGGCACTGGCTGACCAATTGAATTAAAAATCTGTTCACATATTTAAAGAAATCTTATGTGTAAACGACATTACTGAAGGTAAAGATGGCTTATAAAGTGTGTATATAATATACAATGCATACCGATATGATCGCTACTGAGAACTGGGTCAAGAATGGAGCGGCAGTCGATGAGGGTTACAACAGCATACTTCTCCATCTGATGATCAGGAAGGTCTTTAGTGGATTGTGCTGCAATTAAACCAGCAGCAGACAAGGCTCCACTAAGTTTAATCCCTCTTGACATGCAACCCTGTAAAATAAGAGTCATAATTCCAGTGATCACGCGAGGGTAACTTCTAAAGCTGTGGTACTAGCTTGCAGCTCTGCCTTCGGTGATTTAAGAGTGGTTAGGCCTTTTCCATTTCAAGAGCTGATATGCATCACCAATATAAGACTAGATCCATCACATCTAAACTGTCTAGCTTATGTCCAGAATCGTTTATTTAAATCATTCTCGAGAATTGAAGGACTACGAAAACCACATTGCCTTTGGATGGAGAAGAAAACTTTATTCCATCTAAAGAAAGTATACAAAACAAATTGGGTTGCTAGCTGCCAACAAAAACAGAACACTATAAAATTTGATCGCGTTCACCTCTATTCTTAAAGATGGCTGCGACTGTCAGGCATTGCCAATTATTACAGAAGCATATGCTTTCAGCATTATTTTTACATACAAGGCTATACAATCTTAATCTTGCAGCAAAAATAGTTCTCCCTTTGAAAATGCTTCTCATTATGAGAAAGATGGTTTTGGATTCATCATTCCATACTAACTAACCATACTTGACTTGATCTGCCCATGCTAACTTAAGAATTAAACACTTGAATTGTTTTCCTCTTCAATGTAGAAATAAGTTGCTGGAACTGATCATTCTAAGAATCAACATGTGTAAGAACCAAACATGGTGTTAAAATGAACCTCCAAATCCTTCAGGAGAGATAACAATCATAAGACAAGTGGTCTCTAAATTCAATAGCTTGTCTGCAGAAGATGCAAGAATAATCTCCTTCAGACTCCACAGCAACTGTCTTTGGAAGAGACAGAACCAAAACCACAAGACAATATCTTGGAATAGATTAGGGGTAGCTAATAAGACAAAACGGTTTTATCCAGGCAAGGGACCACTAACAGGCTTCCTTGTTAAGAAATAAACCACATTAAATTTCCATCAAATCATTAGACTAATTTCCCAGTAGCACTTCTCCTTCCAAATAACATTAAACATTTTCTCATTTGACCTCAGCCAGCATCATACACTCTCTGAGGGCCAAGCATTAAATTAGAAGACCTAAAGGAATAAGGATGCCACATGCATGCCACAGAAAAGCGGAGAGTCCATTCCAATGCAGATGCTTAAGGAAGTTCTAGCTATATCTCTATTAAGTTTCAATATGCTTTTGACTCAAGCAATGTAACAGTTTTGAATCTGTAATAGTGGAATTGGGTGTAACAATCTGAACTTGTAATTGTGGAATTGAGTTATAGAAATTGTAAATTATTTATTGAAAGAACTGAATTGAATGAATTTTACTGAATAGAAATTGCAATTACAAGAAATGAGGGTGCGGCTAAAAAAAAAAGAAGAAGAAAATTTGGTGACCAATTCAAGGTGGTTGTTAAACCGCCAAAGACTAAACTTAAGAATTCAAATTATGCTACCACTTTAATTCCTAACCTTATTTAAATAGCCCTGATAAGGGCCAATTTGAAAGAACAAAAATAGTAGAAACAAAAATATATTTAGTTAAAGAAACAAAGATAGAAACACAAAAAAAATTTATCTCAAGAGATAATATTTTTTATTTTTTATTCCTAAAATATCATTGTAAAAAACTTTTAATTTCAAAATTGTTTAATAAAACACTTAAAATAAAAATGATTATTATGATGGTTTTAAAATTTAATTTGAGGATCGATCCAAGACAAAGTCTGGATCACATAAACCTGAATTGGGGGCTTGTAAGAATAAATGCAAATGTTTCTTGATTTAGAATTTTCATTTTTTATGATTTTTTGAAGAAAAACCAATGAAAATCAAGTTACCAAACCAAATGATGGCGATTCAGTTCAGTTTTTTGGTTCTAACCAACCACACAGTTGCACCCCTGCCACAAATTGCATCTGAAGGCAAACAACTAAAACCAATTTCATGTAGTAGCTCCCCAAACAAAGACAGATCAGAGGACATGGATATCCATGCCTTACTTGCATTCATTTT